CAACTCAAGGATTTAAACATTTATAATGAATGAGGCTACAAGTACATAAATTAAGCACTATTTGAAGATATGTGAATACCACTACGCATAATATCTAAAAAAAAATTACAATATATTTACATGAATCTAATTCAAACAATATTATATTTTTACATAAGCATTAAAAGAAATCCAAATTAATAAAAGAAAATTGATAAATAATAAGCAGTGTTTTGCCACTTTTCAAGACAACATTGTACAGAGCCTTTCACTCTCCACATTTTTTCCGGCCGCATTTATTAAGGTGGAGACCGTCTGTGTTCCTGAGATCTGTCGGGTAAATGTGTCCATCAACATTTGTGATTTTATTCTTCTCTCTTTCGCAGTTGTGGTTCAATACATATAGGATTCTTTTTCGGAATACGTCCGGGATAAAGAATTTAGTCTGGCTTTTAGAGAAATACTATGGACTCTACTGAGGAACATCTGGTTTTATGTTGATCGTACGTGTTATATATTTTATTTTATGCGCATTCGTTCCAGAGCAAATAAATGGTATGGTCAGACACAAGGCCAACTTAGCGTCGTTGCAGTTTCATGTTAGTTTCTATCACAACTGTACTAATGTGGAACACAAAACATTTAATACAATATACAAGGAGACCCATTGAATGGAATTTTATTTACATTACTATTAAGAACTTAACTTTTTAGTTTTACATTCTTTTTTGTGCATAGAATCTCTGCTCCCCAAAGACTCTTGGAGCTCCTCTATTGCCAATAAATATATGTAAATTGTTCTGATATTATTTCAAATAAGACCGTCGCCGACTCCTGGGTAAAGAATATAATGTCTGAGAACCTCACACTTACATCTAAACTATTTTCTTATACAGTTAAAATAAGTCCCATAAGCCTCAAGTCTTCGGTGCACAGTGAGGCAATGTGACTGGCACGCCTCTCTACCGCAAGTATTTTTCTTTCTGTAAAGTTAGGTACCCATTCTTCAGCTGGGTCGACTGAGGGGGTCCACTCAGTGCCTGGGTTTGGAACTCAAACTTAGGACCGTTGAAGTTAAGAATTTAATTCTATATCCACTAGTCTACTGCACCCCCATGAAAACACTCCCTAAATCAATTTCTTGCTCCCCAGTCTCTTCACAGAATCGTAAAACAACTTGTGCATCTATCATGAGCATTTCTTTAATTCCCCTCCAACAGAAGGTCCGCATACTTCTATTGAAATTACTCAATCGTGGCTGTCTGATATTTGTGTCTCTGTGTCGCTGTTTTTATCGCTTTCATTTCCTTTGTAATACTCTTTTATGTCTATTGTTATGCTCTTTTACAAAAAAAAGAGTCAAATAATTACGAAGCAAAGCGATGACCCCATTAATCTTTTCATCTTTCGTTTTCGTGTTACGTTTTTTGTTATATATATTAGGAAATAATAAATAATGAGAGCATATAATTCATTATATGACGTTGATGGCACGAGAAAAGGTTAACAATATCAATTAAAGTACACTTGCTCAAAAGGTTTAACAATACCAGTTAAAGTACACTTGCTCAAATAACTATCTTCACTGGGGAGGGGTCGAGAAATTTCAGAATGAACACTGCGACTCCTATTGCTTCGGTAAGCCTGTCACAATTATTCAGCCGTTGTGTCATATTGTCGACCATAATTTTGTAAAGATATTTTTTTGAGCGACTTGTACGTCATTATTTTCACATTATCATACAGCTCATGTAAACTTCCAGAATTTTTTTGTACACAAGACGGAACACAAAATAGAAACACTATGTAATAATTTAAAAAATGAATTAAGAATGCTGTCAGTCGTTAGAATACGAATAGCTTGTTATGGTTTAGGACAACTGTGATCAGGTATGAAAAAGAAAGGTAAAATGGCAATGATCGGAGATATTATATATTACTAGATAAATCGTAACACTGAAATACCATTGAAGGATAAGGTAAACAAGAATATTGTATACGTCGACCCCAGCTTACGTTCCTATTCAGCAGCGCGATGAGGACCGTAGCTTACTACCGAATTATACAGTGCTCCGTTTTACTGAGTTTTATCTTCTCCGGCAGAAGGTTATTATAATATATGGCCAACTAGATCTAACCCCAGTGGTCCCTAACCCCTTTATTAGTTTAAATGGAAGCGAATACGAGAGCTAATAAAAGCAGATACAGCAAATATGGTGTGATGATCGGGGTGGTCGTATTTAAAATTCTGAATTTTCGTATAATGATAAATTGGAAAATTGGACTCGGCAGAGACGACGAAACCATTTAGTAATAAGTTTCATTAGTGAGGTGGATAAATTCATCTACAAGAGTCTGAATTGGGGATCTGGGGGTCGTGTAATATGATTCTTTTGTAATTTAATTATTTATGAAGAGAAAGGTCATAATGAGGGTTTAAATTAATAAGGGACCATTAAGGATCGGAGGTAATTATTTGCTCATTATGATATACATATTTCCGAAAACTCTCACACACAAAACATAACAGCAAATTGGTCTACGTAACTTTCATTATCCCTGCAGCTTGTAAGGGAATTACTTTTTTCTTTAACATTACAGGTATTTGAGGGGTGTAAATAAAGACCTAAAAGTAAAAGAACAAAAATATAGGAATTAAGTGGTTTAGATGATCACAGCTGTTGTATAAAGAGTTTAAATTTGATTATCATTTTGTCAGGAAGAGAGAACAATCTTCTACTAATCGTGCACAAACAACAATCTTTTCTTCAGCATAAAACTACACAATTGAAAAAAATTACGGCCCACTTTATTCCCACTAAAGTCCTGGTTACAGCCCCAGAGAGAGAGAATGTACTCCAAGCATGGTGATTTTATGGGCAACTTTCTTTAAGCCGTATGCCTCGGTCTACCCAGCAGTAACTGGGAACCCGGATGCTAATCGATTTACGGATCGTGTTCGGGGTAATGGTTAGTTGGCGAGGTGTCCGGTCTTCTCGGACTATTCCTTGACACTGTGTCACTCAGCTCGTTAACTCAGGGTGTGGTTGTTGTGTTGGCGACAGCTTCTATACCTTAAAAAACAATCACGCCTCGGTGGCCCTAGGGCCGGCCATCCTCGTTATACGAGGGGGCAACTATTATACTATATAATCAGATAAAATTTATACACTGCAATATACAGCCGAATAAAAAAGTATGGGTGGACGTGAGTGAATTTTAGAACTAGTGATGGTGTTAGTAAGGGAACGAAAATAAAGGAAGAGCAACCCAAGGGAAGAGGGTGATTAGACATTCGTAACTACTTATGCAATGGGAGTCTGTAGCCAACAATATTATATACTAAAGGACTTGGGAGAAAATTTTAATTCCTCTTTTGATACCATATTTTGCTCTAAAATTTCAATGAAATATATTTTCATATATAATGAACAAAACATTATAATACAAAGTAAAAATTATATTGGATAAAGATATTTTTGTGATTTGCAAAAGTTTTACCAATACTAATTAATGTCAAGACTCAGCTGTGGGCGTAATTACTGTTACCTGGACAGTGAATTATCCACAGGACGAAGGTTGGGAGAGTTCGCTGCCCTTATGAAGATCGAAAACATTGGTTGATTTTGGACTCGTCTAACTATTGTGTTGGTTATGGTTATATCATTAGTAAGTGTTGTTGTGAATACAGACAGTTACATACATATAGTCACTATAGTGTCCAGTTCCCACAAAAGACAATACCTTTAACTTTTGTAATTGTCAAATTATAAGTTGAATAGGTTTATGTTGTAGCGTTAAGTTGCCACTAGCCTCTGTCCTCCTGTTTAAAATTAATCAAAATTAGAGGCCCTTAGGGAATATCACCTCTGTGTGTGTGTGTGTGTGTGTGTGTGTGTGTGTGTGTGTGTGTGTGTGTGTGTGATACTGCAATTTCGCTTACCTTCAATTTCAGCTTCACATTCAACATTTCAATTCGACATTTCCGATGGTTTACTGTAAAGATTTTTTTCATCTTTCCTCCTTTCTATATTTAATTTCCACCTTCCATTTTACCCAATTTTCGACATTTCCTCTCAAGCTAGACTACCACCCATCTCCCCCAACAAGTTGCTTCCCCATCACCACGATTTTTCCCCATCTCTCCCCACAAGTCTGCCATCTCAACTCTCCAACAGGCTGTAGTCTCGCTGCCACTGATAGGGAAACTGTGAGCAGTGAGGACCAAAAGTTTTATTTTCAATTAAATCCATTAAAAAGTTTACTATTTTTACTTCTGGAATTTCGTTTTGGTGTTAATAAAAACTTATAGTTTTCCCCGAGTCCGTTCTCTTTGACGACAAACCATCATATTGGCGAAAATACCCCCACGTTATTCTTCTCCTTTCGTTTATGTAGCAAAAATAAACTTCAAATATTGAGTACAGCTACAAACACTGACCACGAGACTTAAGCGAGTCTAATACAACGTCATAAAAATGATGTCGAACCAGGACCGAGAATGACCTGGAACTTTTACCATATGCACTGCCGGTAAGATGTCTCTTGATGTATAAAAGAAACTGTAATATCATATAGCACTATTAAATTTTATCCCGAGGTGCACAATCAGTATTAGGAATGCACTCAAAAGTAGCTAGAAAACTCAAACGAACTAATAATTTCTGAAAGTGACTTGTCTTCATCAATTGATAACATAAATGTCGTGAACACATTCGTGCTGCAACTGGTATTCCGAATACTTAGTTGTAAGAGACTGGTATAGTGGTATACCTCAAAATGACCAACATCTATGCTAGTTTTATAAAATCAGTCTGTAGAACTGATATCACCACTCCAGTTTCAATTTACCAAGTGATTACTAAACAAAAAACATGTTGCTATACAGTACAGTGTCAAGGAGAGCTGCTTATATTATCTGGGATCATACAGCGGAATAAAACGTCTTTGGTGATGCAATAATCCAGATATAAAGTTTAAACTAGAGAGCCACATTAACAAAAATATTTTCTCTCCAACAGGTTGTCTGCTAGATGAGTACCAGTGTCGGGACGTGTGTATCGACGCCTTCAGGAGGTGTGACACTGTCCTTGACTGTCCAGGAGGCGAGGACGAGGAAAAATGTGGTCAGTAGACATAACCACTGTGGTCAGTTCATAATAACGTCTTGACCACTGAAGTAATTTCACAATGGTCAGTTCATAATGGGGTCATGACCACTTGTCAGATCACGGAGAACTCACAGTCACTGGTGTAAAAAGGGATTTTTGGTTCTTAAGCCTATTAATAGACAGGGTGGATGATTCTACAAGCAAGTATTTTAACAAGCGCCAGTTAAAGGAAGATGTCATCCTCCAGGTAATGGAATAGGTCAGGTAACGTTAGAAGATGAGTTGAGGAAAGTTAAGTTACTTCTCATAGTTTCATCATTTAAACTTATACGTTAACAAACATATATTATCCGACAGAAACTTGGGTGTGCTCAGAGTCTCATTACAAGTGCACCAACGGCTTTTGTGTTCCCTCCTACGCCGTGTGCAACTTTGTAAACGACTGTGGCGACGCTTCAGACGAACACCAGTGTCGTGAGTATTACCCGTGTTTGTGTGGCTCTTATATCTCTCTTTAATCCCAATCTATGCTAAGAAAATGCCCCAGGACAAGGAGTAATATACAGTTACACACAATCATACTTGACACAAATAGTCACAGCACACTTAAGTGCCGCTGTTGTCTCCCCTGCAAACTTTTCCACAAAACGAGAGAGAGAAAATAAGAGACGAGGTCCTCCTCCTTGGTCGCTTCTCTTTAGGAATATTCTTACACATTGACAACTCAATAGTATTGTCGCTTACTTAGGATACTCGTGTAGGAAGTTAACACCATAAAAATGAAGAGTTTTCTTTTGTAATAAGGCCGCGAAAAGTCTTACATTTATATTTACGCGAACATTAAGGGTTTATAACATTAAATTGGTTACGTAATTTGCTCCAGATAGATATATATTAAAGTTTCCAAAACGGTCAATAAAGAATGTGTTGCATTATATATGAAATGTCTACAACGTTTTGTTCGCTAAGTGTTAGCAAAAAAAACAAAACAAATTAACGTAATTTTCGAGAGAACAGTTCAACACACACACACACACACACACACACACACACACACACTAGAATGATACATGTTGCACACTAATAGTAATATTATATCTCTTACATCACAATCGATGTGAGCGTGTAATAAAAAGTTACCAATTTTATCAGTTTATTGACTGTTTAAAGAAGTCATCAATCTTATGGTTTTTCTTGTATGAATCAACTTAGATATTATACGAGACTTAAAATAGATCATAATAATCATAGAGTTTCCTTATTAGTGGAAACTTGTCTGTTAAAGGTGTAGGTAATGAGTTCAAAATTTTACCAGTAGAGGGAAAGACTCGGGCTCTATTATGACCCACACAAGAGTTGCCAAGAGCCATATTATATCTATGGCACAGCGGCTGGTTTTATTCTCTCTGGTCGATGCAACGGAGGAAACCAGAAATCAACCACTGGGAACGAACATTTGGCGAAAAATGAATGGTTGACAGTTTGAAATCGGGAGAGTTACTTTGGTTAACTAATTAAGACTCAGCTCAGGTCTAGAAATTAGAGTAAAGTATGTGGACCTGTACCTCATTCCATGCTAGTATGAATTAGTCCTTTACATAGTTGAAGTAGTAATTCAGAGGATAAGAATCTTCAACATGTGAATGACTCCTATTATTTCGGAGGATAATTAATGATTAAAGTTATGTGGGTTTCTTAAGATATGTTTAATGTGTTGAGTGTTGAAGACAAAGAATTATTAATGGAGAAGGGAAAGTCTCGAGAATCTTTAGAAAGGACGAAGTCTCTGGGGTTAAGTTTACCCACAGGGAAATCCTATTAAGGTTCGAAATTAAGAAAGGTTTAGAAATGGGAGAAGAATGAGGACGAACACAAGATGATGGCGTAAATTTGAGAAACATGAAAGAGTGAAAATTCGAGTCATCGGTGTAGGAATAAATTGTGTTACAAGATAAAAAAAGAAAGTCCTTGATGTTGAGAAGGAAGAAGGTGGAATAATACATAAAGCCTTTAGGAACATCACTATTAATTAAATAAAGAGAGGTCGATCCGTCAACGCCTGCAAATATGGAATGACCCGAGAGTAATGAGACTAGGGGTGCAAAGTGAGGGAGAAAAGTTAAAAGGAAGAAAGCTTAGAGGTCTGAGCCTTATTCTAGAGACCATATCAAAGGGCCTTGAAACATACAAAACTATAAAATCATACACCGAGGGTATTCATGAGATTAGTGTTATCAATAAGAATATGGAAACTGATGATCAGAGAAGAGTATACGATTCATGAAGGCTGAGGGAAAAACTGTAGTTAAAGTTATAACCCTTCTTGGGGTGAGGTGAACCAATGAATACTTCCATAATGAAGGAAAATTTGTGTTTTTAGATAAAGATGAAATGTACGAGTATTCCCGGGAACACTTTATGAATTTTATGAAAATAGAAAAGGACACAGGATTAGTCTAAGGTAAATAAAGTATTGAAAGAATATCAGAATTATCAAAAAAAGGGGAGAGGGGGGGGGGGATCCCTTATCAGTAAGGCCTCACGATCAAACCATAAATTAGCTGAAGCGACAATTTTAATGAACTGAATGGATATACTCCTTCATTCCTACCACACTTAATATACTCGGCCAGGACAAAAGGTTCACTCGAGAAGCATCAAAAATCATCCCAAAGGAAGTGAAAAAGAGAATTATTGTAAGTTAGTCGAGCTAGGTCTTCCGTAGTTGCCATAACCGACGTGTAGAGAGGATGCCGATGACGTATCATATGAACCGACTGAAGGTGAAATTGTGTAATTATACCATGCAAAGGAGAGGAGGTGAGACACAAATCAAAGTGTATAAAGTGTGGTTTGTGACAATCTAGGGCGAAGGATATTTGTTCCGGGTCGTTAAAAATATTATGTGCGAGAACTTTACGTTACAGATCAATGGAGTAATTAACATTATCAGGTCCAGGAGCTGCTCCCATACTAAGATAAAGGCCTTTAGCTTTAAACTCTAAACTTGGAAACGATAAGTTACTGGACACATTCTATGTTCATAAAGCCTGTTCTCCATTACTTTATTATTGGAATATTTTCTTTTAAAGATATGTGTGAAGTCATTCCCACTGCAGATAATGTAGAAGGTAATTGACAAGTTACTTCAGACAAGAATTAGACGACTGATTATGTATTCATTTATTTGAAGGACAAGAAAGTGAATAATTTTGCATTTACTTGACAAGTTGCGTACTTGTGCTTCCACACACTTTGGATATTAGTAATTAAATAAATACTTTTTAAACACTTTTTCAACTGGTAATATTTCCAAAGCTAAATATCTTTGGAGCTCTTGCATCTAATATTACGAGATTCTAATGAAGTTCTCACTTGTTAGGTTTGAGAAGATACGTGATATCTTTCTCTTTTGATAACTTAGGATTTATCAAATCACCAGAGAACTTGAGAGCTAAGTGTATGTTCTTGGGGATTTAAGAAGGGAGACACTGACTGCTGTAAGGAAAGCTGAAGTTGAATCTTCCCGGGCAGGTAGTGCAGATTGTGTATTTTGTATATTAGAAAAGTGGGGAAAGTTCTCTCTGAAAAGACCCCAATCTGCTCCTTGGACCGGACGACAGAGCTATTTTATCCGAGTAGTTCTAACTGTCGATGTGAGACATACTGTATATAAAACTATCTCGTTCTGTTATCAGGGAATGTCAGGGCGGAGGATGAAGAAAGGTTTCTTGAATTATTAATCATACAGTATTAGTCATAACTTAAATTATTTGTTCCCCGCAAAACTGAACTGAACATAGGGAGATCTATTGCTCTCCTGGTAATCCAAGGGTAGACCAAGAAATATGAGAGGGTGACCATTAGAGGGCTTAAGTGGCACCTCCGGGACTGGATGGAGAGTATCACCCCTACTCTTACCCTTTTAACCCTAGCCAGATACGAGCGGATGGTTGAGCCAGTGGGGCCACACAGGACCTCTCATTTCAGCCATGATCCACCACCAAAGGAAGTATGTTCTTCCTGGAGAGCCTCATCTCCAAGAGTGACTCAACCTCCATATGCAAGGCAATAAGGAGTGTAAGGAGCTCCATGTGCTGCTAGCATATGGGAGGATCTAATAATAGAAGTAAAGTTCATTTCATCAACTTGGCTATAAAGAACACACGCATTAAATTTGTGGGAAACAACAACAAAAAAACAACAAAATGAAAAACGTGGTAATATATACAAAAGAGAAGATAATAAGGATAACAAACACGAGAAGAAATATATAAAATAAACAGTCTTCGTCCTGAACATAAAGCACACGCTTACAGTGAGACCAGATTGGACAGCGTGAAGTTCTTACTTCACAACTGAGAACTGTAAACATTGTTACTAGGCTGTTCGTGACACAGCAGGAGGATCCTAAGACTAGCTCTTGTATACATTATATTAAACATGATAGACATCTGTGAAATGAAATCATCCCATTTAATGTAGATCATAGACATCTGTGAAGATTGTTTTGAATAAAAAAAAATTATTCACTGTCGTGGCAAGATGGTTGTACCGATAACAACTGTAATAGAAAGTTACGCATAAAAGAACTTTTGTACAAGCTGGAGGTGCCCACTTAGGTACAGTACTCGGCAACAACACAGGTTCTTCTTTCAAGGAGACGATAATGGGGTCGAGTTGGAAAAGGAGGTTTCGCGTCCTTTACTGGCGACGAACAAATCATCACCAAATTCACTAGCGTTTGCAACGCTGTGCTCGTTAATCCCCAGAAATGGGCAATTGTACATCATCAACGGCAGAACAATTACGGCAGAATCAGGAAATATTATCTAAGCCATACTAACATATTATTGTTACAGCTCCACACAGCCAGGAAACTTACAGTACCACAATATATAAACATAAATATTAGCCAGTTGGAGAATTTATTTTATCTTGCAGCAAAACAATACCAGCTGTCTCCGTCACTATAACTCAAGACACGGTAGCTAAGTGCGTGAGCGGGTGCGTTCAATGAATTCCTGTTCTTGTTAAGAACAACACATATGTTCTACCCTTCCTAAATTCAAGTTGTTATCATGATGACAATATATTTATGTATTAACAGGCTTTCTTACACCTACCTAATCACACCTGAGTGTTTATTAGGTTACTACAAGTATTATAATCTCGCTGGAAGGCTGTTCATCTGTACCACTTCATAAAGATGGGAATAAATTCAGAATAAAGATATAGAACGTCATTTCAAGACTAACCTTGATACTTATGCTTAAAAAATGAGAAGTACAGTACTAATACAGAGTAAAATTTTGAACTAAAGACTTGCATATTTGAGATTACTTAAGTATCTGTAGAAATGATTCTAATATATGTTAACCTGCTCATTTTATACAAGAAGTAAATAAAAAATGGTAACCCGCTGGGACGAAGAAACGGAGAATAAAAAAAAAAAAAAAAATTATATATATATA